GTGGAGTCCCGAGGCGCAGGATGGTCAACGCCAGACCAAGGCGGAGCGGAGGAACGAGGGAGCCCGGCGGAGCTAGTGGACTGCCGGGCCACGGCGGAGAGGAGGGAGCAAGGAGCCATGGTGGGGCCAACGGGTCCACGGGCCGAGGCGGAGTCTGGGGCTTAGAGGCTGGAGGCGGAGTCAAAGGAAACTCCCGCCACAATGACGCTGGAGGATGGCAGTCCCGTGGAGCTTGCACCGCATAGACGGTGGGCTAAGGGCGAGCAGAGGGGCTGCCAGACGACAGCAGAGGAGGAGGCAGGAGCAGGTGGGAGGGCGGGCATTTGTGCATCTCCGGGCATTCAGGGCTTAACTCTTGAGGTGTGGGGGGCTTAGAGGCGGGAGGCGGAGTCAGGGGACCCCCCCGCCACAATGACGCTGGAGGATGGCAGTCCCGTGGAGCTTGCACCGCATAGACGGTGGGCTAAGGGCGAGCAGAGGGGCTGCCAGACGACAGCAGAGGAGGAGGCAGGAGCAGGTGGGAGGGCGGGCATTTGTGCATCTCCGGGCATTCAGGGCTTAACTCTTGATCGGAAGCCCCCTCTTGACTTAACATGGGAACAGGATTGTGCTCTGGAGGAGCGGACACTTGAGCACTTTCTAGGAGCGGGCACTGGAGGGCGCTTTCTAGGAGCGGGCACTGGAGGGTGCTCTGGACTGGATTCGGGGGCTGGAGCCCGCTCCTCTTCGTTTTGGCACCTTCACCACACCATACTCTGCTCACCCTCAGCTGCTGTGCGGGGGGCGGAGCTACTCTCCGCGCTCACACCGTCCGTGGCACTCTCCCTCATGGCAGGCGTTGTTGCCGGCTGACACACCTTGACTGACGTCATCAGCGGCTCTGGCTCTGCGGCGATCCTCAGCACTGTCGCTCCATGTGGCGATGGCTTGTCGGTCGCGGCGGGCTCCGGCTCTCCGTCAGCGGTGGGCTCGGGCATGCTTTCCACACATCAGGGAGATGGTGGGCTGGGCTCTGGGTCAGGAGTGGCACTGGCAAGATACTCTTGGAAACAGGCGAGGAACGGAGATCCATTTCTCACCAGTGTCCACTCCACAAAGGCGGTGAATTCCGCTCGAGGGCCATCTTTGGACGACGGCGCTCTGCGCTCTGGTTGAGGCTGGCATCATAGAACGCGCAGAGCGCGTCATCCGGATAGGTGGTAAGATGGGCAATAGCCAAAAACAATCTGGTATGACCCTCAAGCGATTTTTCCCTCTGCTCCAGCAGGAGGATGATGCATTCAGGGCGAAGGAGGGGATCCATTGGGGCACACAACGGAAACAAAAACACTGAGAAAAACGAGAAAAAATGGAGGGGAAACACGCAATTTAAACTGTTGTTGTCCGAGATTCTGTCACGCTCACTCTGGGAAGGAACGAGGAGACAAGGCGTAAACGAACACAATAGTCTTTTAATCCAACATCCAAGGGAATACACGGGGCAGACAGGAGCATATGTAACACCAGGGTTGACATACAATCTCGGACAAAGACAGACAGTACAGACTCGAACTTAAATGCAAGGGATAATTAACAAACACAGGTGAACTGAATGACCAATTAAACTAAACGAGGACAGGAAAAAGACCATATAAGGAACACCGGGAACAAAGACGGGCAAAACACAACTAAACAGGTCCATAATCCTGACAATTACATTGTTAACATATATAAATCATTTTTTCATTGTAGTCTTTCCGAGTAGCAAATTACGCACTATTATGCAGAAATTCATCTGGCATATAGTAGTTTCTAAATCATTCTATCACAATTATCCCTTTCCAAAAAGACGTTTTTTTGTGCAACTTCATGTGGAGACAGGAGCAAGCTTTCGAAATCCTTCTCACAGATTGCAGTTTACTTCCTGGCAGTGTTTACGTAGTTATTTATTTACTTCTGTTAAAATAAAAATACCCCGCACAACCCTGGGTTTCTCGGGAGAGCTACGATCCCAGCTGATGATTTAGCAGCCTAAATAAGATTATACTATCCTTAGCCAGGGGTGAAAAACAGAAGTCTTCTGGAGGCATCTGATCTATCACACCATGTCT